GGAGCTGCCGGAGCATTACGTGGACAGGTGCAAGGAGAGGCAGGAGGGAAGAAGGAGAAAGGGCGTTACCTGAGGGTTAGACCTGCCCAGACACACATGAAAGAAAAAAAACAAAGATCTGACAGTTTTACTCCCTGTTTCTAAAACGCTAATAAAATGTACATGCATTACCCTTTCCTTTTATCGCTTCAGCTACAAGGAGGGGGATTTCTAAAGAAATTGGCATAGTCAGGGAGGTGTTTTCCCCTCTGCAAATTCTCCCTCACATTTAATTTATCATTAATGTGACATGAAACTGATCTATAGCGTTTGGGTATCGACACAAGGTCTTTAAAACATAAATGGGCAGGCCCATGGCTTGGAATAAATATTTTCAAAACCTGCAGAGATGAAGAAAGAAAGATTGAGAGATGGCTCATCTAATCCATCTTCTTTGGGGTTTTGCATTGGGCCCGTAACCAAAGTCTGTGAGCACCACAAATTAGCAGTAATATCATCTACTGAAAGATCTCTGTTGTCTTTCTAGTGTTTTGCATCAATTTAGGACTTTGCTGTCCTGTTCCAGATGAGCATATGCATTTTTTTCATCCCAAAAGTAGAACGGTTCACGCATGCAAATGTATTGGTGGAACATGTTTATTATTAGCAATGGTAAAACAACGGTATATTAAAACTAAGAGCTTGACTTTTGCCTCCTTTGCTGCTTTTTCTGTAATGTCTAATGAATATTAGGGCTCAAACTACACGACCCATCTTAGCGTTCAAGATACGCAGTGCAGTTCCTTGCCAATGTTAAAACATGGTATTAGAGTATAAAACGCAAAGATCTTTCACAGTTAATTCTTTCAAAAGTTTGAGAGAATCGCTTGGTGGTTTAAGGTTTCATTTAAACAAAAAAGTTGCAGAGAATCATGAAAGATTAGTTCTCCCGTCTTGCTCCATGGTCTTTTCAGTCACAGTCTAAATCTGAGAGATCAAATGGATTTGACTGCTTAGCTTTATTTGCTATGGAGAGTATAGGGCTAATTAATTGGCAGGTGCTTTAAAGCAGGTAATGCTACACCTTTTCATCATTGCAGTCCTAAGTACTGCCCCTGTGTGCACCTGAATTATAAAAAGGCTGCTTTAAAGCAAGTGATTTACTGTGGAGGGATTTAAAACTGAAAAAACGAACGCTAAATACAATGATCAGATAAATCACCTCAGAAGAGAGCACAGGCGGACCTGCTCTGAAGGCAGTTACAGATAGATGTTATATTATTTTACCTTTCAGATAACAGGAGCCTGTCATGTGGTGGGACCCTAAAATCCACCATAATCGAGATTTCAAAGCACATCTGTGTAAACATTATCACATCAGTGTAAAACATCAACCAATGAGCTTTCTCTTTGAACCAAATCTACTTAATTGCAGTGCTAAATCAAAGAAATAGATCAAAGTTGAATAATCTATATGGCACCTATTTCTCAAGTAGCCTGTACACCGATTACTCAAATATACCTGAAACGTTTGAAACACGCATCAAGTATTTTTATTGACATGACTGGCAGGTCAAGATCAAACTGTTCACCACAGCTGCTAAGTTGCAGGACACGCGCTAGGATGATACAGCTAAATGGCGGAGGTATAGTCTTCTAAGCCTAAAGATGCTACACTACAGACAATGTCGCCAGGTCCAAGCAGCGCTCTCCGAGTCCTACAAACAGCAGAGGGCTCTTCTGGTTAGATGTCACCACTGTCCGCAGTAGAGAAGGTTTTTTTAAAAAAAAAATCCTCAGCCATCACACACTGGAAGACCCTTATGGCTAAATCTTTCCTGTTATATAATGGAAACATTTAAAGTAGAGTGGAATATATAATGTCGATCTTTTCCGAGTGGAGTCTTTAATGTCTGGGCACTAAACCGGTTATAAAGTACCAGAAAAGAAACAAAAAGATAAGAATTTTTTTGGTGTTTGCACTAGTCATGTGACAGGAAAAGATAACAGTAAAGATTTTTTTTTTTTTGCACCTTCTGAGACTATACCATGGGAAGTTAAATAATTTTGAAGAGTGTTTTTACAAGAGTACGTAATTCAACTTAAAGTATACAGTACAATCTAATCAACTCTACGTATACTTCCTAGAGACCGCACTTTCAGTGTCGTTGAACAAATACATATGTGGTCGAGTTTTTATTTCCATAGCAAGCAGTTAGGGCTTCTATAGACAATATAATTACTGTATATTTCCTAAGAATAGCATATTGTCATAGGCAAAACCTGGTGGCTACCAAGGGAGTGGAGAAAGCAATGGACTGAAATCTTTGATAGATAGTCTATATATATGTGTGTGTGTGTGTGTGTATAGAGAGAGAGATATCTATATATCTATCAGGTTGGTTAAAAAAAAAGTTGTTCGCTGTAAAACTTTGCGTCCTGCAATTTATTGCACCTTTATTAATTTTAGAACTCCCTTACAACAGTGCTGTGCCAGCCATAAAATTTTAATGATATAATAAAACACTGGCTAGGAGAATGAAGGGGGGGTTCATGAATACATGAGAAAGCAAACACAGGGTGGAACAAAAACCACCAAGTAGAATATAAAGGAATATGTCCAGCTGGAGATACCTGCATATCATGGTCATTTCCAGGTTCTTCCTAGATTTGGATGAGAAAACATGGCTGGCTGCTTTCAACAAGATGAGCAGAACATGCAGAAGTTAGTGTGAGCGCCTTTCAGCACACTGCAAATCTGTGTAAAATAAGGTGTATTCTTGTGCAGGATTTACTAGGAAGAAAAGAACAGAATCATTTTCAAGGCTCCATGTACAGATCAGGTCATAATCTGATGATCTAGAGCCTTTTAAATGCAATACATACAGACTTTAAAAGCATTCAGAACTTCTTCTTCTGAACCGATACAGTTACAGGTATGTATGCATGTATACTTACATGTATATATAAATCTACCTACCTATTTACAAAAACTCAGATGAGGGAAAAGTAATGCTGAAAAAAATTATTTTCCTATGGAAAGGAAGTTCTACATGTCTTGCACCTTCATTTTTTTTTTCATTTCTTTAAATGAAGACAGAAATTCATAGGGCTTTTTAAGATTCGTTATTTTATTGTTCATGTTTTTGTGGATACACGAGTAACTCCTGTATAAGCAGAACAGGACAGAGAAGCTAGGTAGCAAGGATGCGTTTACATCCAGTTACATTCAATGAGAATGGACCTTTTCCACGTATATCAACATTCAAATGCCTCATTTGGCAGCTTTTGCGTTAGTTCTGTAAGTGGATCATTGGATAAAAAACACCTTGATTTATTTAAATTACATGGTTTCTGAATGCGCACATAAGTTGTGCAGACAGCTTACGGTTTTTGACTTGCTGCACAAATAAATTGCGCTCTTGTTCCTAAGCAAACACCTCACCAGGGAAGTTCTGGCTAACATATCCAGGTGTAAGTAGTTACAGATGTGTATAGGATTTTTTGAAGTGAAAAAAAGATTAGCCTAAAGGTGTTATTGAAAAGTCATTAAAATGTGGCTAACCGATTTCAGGGAAACAACATGAACAGGGAGATAACTCATGGTTCATGTCTACAGTTTAGGTGACTGATGAGTCATCCAGCAAACGGGTTTACTTTGGGATACTACATTGACCAAAAGTGGTTTCTTTTCCAATCAAATGGAAAAACTAGACTATTTTAAAAAGGTAATTGTATTGGTGAATGATGTCTCCTAATGAGGCAGCTAGAACTGAAAAGATCCAAGAGCCATGGTCTACAAAATTTTCCAGACTGGATGCTTAGTCATCTAACTGCAGGAGAAATACTTGCGTTTCAGTCATGCTAAGCATCTGAAACTATTATTGTCTTGACACCTCAATATTGGCCTTTAATAAAAAGGCCTTTTATCATTTAGTACAGAGATGTAGCTCAGATTCAGAGACAAGACTTTCACTTGGAAAACATGCATATAACATAAATAAAGCAGTAGACATAAAAAAAATCAACAAAAAAAATGTTAGTTTTTAACAGATGGGAATAAGGAAGTCAAGGGAATTACTTGAGGGATTAATTGGCTTACGGTATTCCAAAATACATAAAGAAATGCAATAACTCTATCATTCACCCCAGATACCTAGGGGTACCTATATCCCCAGATACCTATATTTCCAGACATAGCTCTGAGGTAATTCAACCTTGGCCATGATAACAGTTGTATGATCTGTCAGATTGTCAGTTGACAAACGTGGCCACAGTTCTCCCTTGACACAGTATCATAACCACTGAAATGTTTCTTAGAAATTGAAAATGCGTAAGTGTGTCTTAAACCTATTAAAATGAGTTATGGTTTGTGTATTTTCTGAAAACTTGTTCATAATAATATACAAAGCCATCAAAGATTTAGGAAAAAAAAATAAAACTGGCTGAAACTTGGGAAGAACATATTTATATAAAGAAGAAAAAGACTGAGGAACAGCAAATATGGTTGAAATAGGGGCCAGGAGAATCCCTCTTCTCTGAGAACCTGAGGTGCAGAGAGGAGTATTGGAGGGAGAGGTCAGATGGACTTGGGGAAGGCCGAAGTTTCCAGCCTACTGGTATTTAGGGAATTAAGTATTTAAATTGGGTCCCAATGCAACAATGCAGTAAGCAACCGTAAGCAACCAAACAGAAGGAACATTATGTAGATCAGTCTAGGAATGGTAAAGGACAGCATTACTCTCTTGGTAAGTTGTTTAGCTCCCTGTTTCACATTTCATTTCTAAAAACTGTTCCTCGTGGGACTAAGTGCCACCTATGGACACTTTACAGCACAGTTCAAAAAATTATGGAAGAGTCCGCCAGACTATTTGTCAGCTTTCCATAAATTTTAAAATCGAGGATTTAATATGCCAAATATTAGTATCACAGGCAACGCTGTTTGATTTCAGTTTATCTGAAACAATCCTCATGCTTTTAGTTTCAGCTGTATATCGGGTATGCACCAAGAGTTTTCAAGGCTTTGGAAACGGGCTGGGACTTTACTAGGTTTTACAGGACTGATGGAGTTGCAGCAATCTTCATTCTAGTAAGGATAACTAGGATCACTGGAGGCTTTTAATAAAGGCTTGGCAGTAAAACAGTGAAAAATCTTGACACTGCAGCCACCTCCAGCCTTCAGGATTACGAGGCAAATGAGGTATGGTTGGAAGCTCTTCCTTCCCCTAAGGTAGCGTTTCCAGGTTTCTGCAGACATATTGCCGAGTCGTGCAGACACACTCCCTTGGGAGCAAGGTTGTGAAAACACAGGGTTAGGCTCTGGAGCACGTTACTGAGCACACATGGCACACGCTCTGTGTGCCAGACTGCAGCGAGGCCCACACGCGAGCTCTGTCCCCACTCACGGCAGTTTCCATGCATCACCCTTCCCAGGCACTGTGGCTTAAACTGCCCGGATTCAGGTCAATGCCCGTTCTCTATATTTGGTCTAACCACCTCGTATCTCCACTAACTTGGCTGCAGCCCGCCGCAGGCAGAAATGTCCCGTTGTCTGCTGCTGCCTGACCCGAGAGCCGGGCGCGCCCCAAGGCCGCCC